CTACCTCTAAGTTTCTTGCAGTTCCTTCCAAAATTTAATATGCACACAAAAAGCATGCATTTTCTCCCTGTAAGGATATCAGACATTGTTCTGCAACTGGAGCTTTTCATGTTACACACATCTTTGATATCTTTCTATATAAAACGTATAGGTTTATATCATTCTTAATAACAACAAAGTATTCTAAAAAATGTACAATCAGTGTCCAATACACACTTTTAGAAATTGCTTTTAGAATTTACTACTAAAACAATGCTGCAATGGGTGTCTTTGTTTTGCAAGAATATTTGAAGGTGAGTTCTCAGAAGTGGAAGTGCTAGGACAAAAGATATGTGTAATGTAAACTAACAAAATTTACCAACTGTCCTCCAAAAAGACTGTATTAACCCTATATACTACTATAGCACTTCCCACATGATTTATTAGATTGGGAAATACGTCAAAATTTGACAGGTGACAAAAGACAACACTGTTTATTGAGCTGCATTTCTGTAATTACAAGTGAGGATGAGCATCTTTTCAGGCCTTTATTGGTCATTCAGCTTTCTTTTCCTGTGAATTATCTTGTTTTTTTTCCTACTGAGTTCTTCACGTTTTACAAATACTTTATAGAAGTTTCTTGTACACTGTGGAAAACAGTGTCAAATCAAATCCCAATCTCACTCCCATCATTCATACCAAAAATACTGCACTCACCAAAAAACTGCTTGTTGTCTTCATAGTATTTGTTTCCATATTTGTCTTCCCCCACTAATGTACCAACCCTCACATCATTGGCCCTGTGAATGTCGAAAAGAAAACATTTTAGAATTATTCTTTGTTCAAAACACAAACATAAACAGAGAACACCAACTTTCACAAACAAAGGCAGCCTCATCACCTAGAAAAATGAGGAGACGCTGGGTAGTTACTGATTGTATACTTCTAGCCTTCATCCCCAGGTTCACGGAGAATCCCACTGTCGATGAATCAGCTTTCAAGTAAGAGCTCTAGATAATCCCAGTACCATGTCCCAGTACCATGACAGCACGAGAAAACATAAACTGACCCTAATGATGTGCCTAAAGTCCACTAAATATATAGATGCAATATCTTCAAATTACTAGACTACTTTTACCTACTATGCCTAGGCCACGGGGCTCTGGAGTTAGCAAAAACCTTCAGAAAATCTGCAAGCTGAAGTATTTCATCTCCTTAAAATGATACAAATATATCCTGGCTCTTTCATTCGGCTCTGGGTCTCCAACTAGGTTTCTGTGGACGATGCTGCTCGTCCGACTTTCTGAATGTACCATTATGGGACCATTACGATCACTTCGTTCAACGCCTCACTGTACGGGGGGAGGAAAGTGAAGGCCAGCGAAGGGGGAAAAGTTTCCCAAGGTCACACAGTGAATGTTGGGCAATGTACTCTCCAAGAAGTAGGGCAAGGGGACAATCCATGTCACAGCTGACTCTAGCGCCTGCTTTGGTCCTGTCTCCGGGATACCCCTGGCCAGACTTCGGCCCGGAGGAAACTGGGCAGAGACTGGCCGGTCGTCCTTGACAAGAGTTGCGGATTCTCCAAGGTGACCCAAGCCGGGGCCCCTTTCCAAAAACCCAGCCAACGCAAGTCCAGCTCCAGAGGCAAGATCATGGCTCTGACCGCCTACCTGAACAAAATCCGTAGGTAGCCGCGGAGGCCGCCGTGGCCGCTGACCTGCTGCAGCCCGCGCTTCAGGACCTGCAGGAGCTCCATCTTGTCCCGCAGGCTCCGCCTCGCCGGCGCGCAGCGCAAAACCCACCGGGTGGAAGCGGCCACTCAGCGGCAGGGAGCCGACCGTAGAAGGTTCTCACGCAGGCGCGCCATGCGGAAGTGGCCCTGCGCATGCGCTGGCGTGGAGCACCCCACCCCCCACCCCCCACCCCTTTGCGGCCACTTACCCGTTTCCAGAAAAAGTCCGGTTGATTGGTTTCCTTCCAAAAGGATTTTCAGAGATTGCATTTAGAAGGCAGGACATGTAGTGGAAAACTCATCTCAACTTTCCCAGGTGGCGGTTTCTTCTTTGGGGACCTCAGTTTCCTCGTCTAAAATGATTACCTCAGACTATTCCAAAAATCTTTTCTAGAGCCAAGATTGTTTAGAAACAAAATACCATTAAGGAATTCAGTATTAAGCATGTAATGATACTGCACATTCAAAAATAAGTACATTCGATATTAGCGTTATGTAGGTAAGCGATTGAGGAGAAACAGAAAAACGTAAGATTAAGTATCTGCTCCCAAGGATTTAATGATTTAATTCCAAGTTTAAAATTAAAATTTTAAATATTTAAAATGTATTAGAAAAATAATTCATGTATGACATTAGAAATTTTAAATAGTAAAGGATGTTAAATGAGCACTATTATTTCTAATTTTCTGGCAGCTAACTTTATAATTTTAAATGTTTTAAAATTCATATTTGTTGATCCATGAATTTGGAACAGATTGATTCTCAACTATTTGAGATGAGAAATTTAGCATATGTCACTTCTCTCACCTTTTCTCATCCTTCGCTCTTTCAGGCTCTAGTGTACCATTTCTTTAAAAAGGTAAAGGTTTATAAGATTTACATTCTAATCTATAGCTGCAAGTTTTCATAATTGTCTAAAGAACTTTAAAGATTGAAATACAGTATTATTTCTTGAAAATGACCAAGTAATAAGACTGGGCCTGGAGAAGAGGTGTAATTTTATGCTACTAAATCTTCAACCCCAGAAGATAAACTTCCAAACATTAGGATCAAATTTTCTTTTCTTAAACTCTACCAATTGCTCAAAATCATGTCACATTGAAATTTATGTTGAACTGTGACTTCATAGACTTTTTTGGTTCTTGTTTAAAAAAATTCTATCTGAATTATTCCAATATGTCTAAGAATTCTTTTAAAAGCATAATCATTACCATTCTCTCACCTCAAAAAGTTAGTAAATGCTCAATTTCAAATATCCACTGAGGATTCAAATTTCTCCAATTTTTTTGTTTGTTTTTACAATTTGTCCAAATAAGGTCCATATGTTGTACCTGGTTGATTTTCTTTTAATCCATAGTATTCCCCCATTTTCCATCTGCTTCTTTTTTTTTTTCATCCTTCCAGTTTATTTGACAAAAATCTGGCAGTTTCTCCTGTAGAGTTTTCCACTGTCTGGATTCTGTTGATTGTGTCCCTGTGTTCCTGTCTATTAGTAATTAAACCTAGGTGCTTGACAAGATTTAGGTTCTTTTTTTGTTAAGTGTATTTCATAGGTGATGATATCCTTCCTTTAAGGAGCACACGTGGTATCTGCTTGTTTCATTAAAAAATGAATGATTTTAGCAGCCATTGATAAGCATTGCCTAAATAATTTCATTCCTTCAATTGCCAGTGACAAATCTATAAAGACAAACGAATTGACAGTGTAGGGGTAGAAAGCTTTCCCCTTCTTCCGTTCTAGGTTCTTTGATTGGCCTAATATTTAAGTTGACATAAGACAGATGAACAGGAAAGACAAATTTCATATGTACGGGAGCCCCAAAGACACGAGATCTAAAGACAGTCAGGCAATTGAGGCTTACATGCTGTCCTGAGCTAAGGATAAGGAGAAGGGGGCAGAGGTCAAGGGCTTCAAAGGGAAGGAGGACAAATCACAGGAAGACAAGAAGAGCGGATGTTTGGTAAACATGTTTGCCATGCCATGCAGATAAATTTCTGATATGAAAAGTCATCTTTAACAGCTCTCTTCCTGGTAAGGGAAGGTAAACAGCTCTAAGTCTGTTGGGCCTTGATTGTCTTCAATTTGAAATAACCCGCATGCCAAAGTGGCATATTTGGGGTGTCAATATTCTGTACCCTTCTGTCCCAAGCAGGATTCTTATCAAGTCACAACCAAAAGTGAGTGTCTGGAGATCTTTTTTCTGGGCCAATTAGTTTCTTAAAAAAAGAAAAAAATCAATCCTGGTGGAGAAGCGTATACCGAAATACCGAATGGCCAGCATTCTGGGAACGTCTTAGAGAGCCCATATTCAGAATGCATATTTCCACTTAATCTGTATTTTCAACCCTACATGTTATCCAAGCCTTCTGTTATCCCTGGTATCCTATAAATCTTATGATCTTCTGGTTTAGCTTCTCAAGATTATTAACCTCTGGCATCCTGCTTTTCAAGGTTGAAGGATAAAAAATGGTCATTTGACTTAAGTTAACAGTACAGAAAGATAGTCTATAAACAGACTTGCAACCAATCTCTTTTTATGCCCCCAAGCACCATCTCTGAATATGAGTACCTGGTTTCCCCAGGTACTGAACACTGTTTCCAGACATTGCAAAGCATACTAGCTTCTTTCTCACTGCATTACCTTTTGCAGGCACTCAGATTAGTTTCCTTGTTTCTGGCTCTGCTAAATCAACCTTTACCTGCATTTTGTTTTCCCAAAATTTACTGTACTCTCTTATGCTCTGATTTCTTCTTTCTTGTTTCATTTGTTATAGTGTGGTTACACTTTATTGAGATGTTAGGAGAGGAAGAAAATGAAAATAAATGAATAATTAATCTGTAGTATTTAGTTGGAACCCTTCAAACTGAATTGTAAATAATTCTAAAATACTGAAATATGGAGATGTTTTCCCTTCTTGAAAGTACTTTAATAAATCTTACTAGAGATTTCTTAATAATGAAACAAACAAAAGGATGACCAAACATTGAACAAACAGGCCTTTGAAATCAAATATATTGGCAGGAAACTGAAGTTTGTAATGCAGGTCACATTTTAATACAGTTTTAAAAACACTTCCAAAATATAACTATAAATTTAATCAGGAAAAAATACGTGAAACATGTATCTTAATTAACAGTTAGTACATTATTTTAAATAATTTCTTCCTGAATCTGTAGCTTATTTCATTGGGTTTATAAAGGTATAAACCTACTGATTTTTCCTTTGAGTATTTTGTACTAAATGTATTTTTCTCAGCTGGTAACTATAAATAAACCTGTTGACAAAAATCATGTTTTAAATAGGGAAAAAGTTTTCCCTTAATAAGTTGGGAAAGACTGTAAATTGATACTTCAAAACTTCTGATTTACTATAAAGTAGCAATTAGTAAAATCTATACCCATCCCCAAAATTCTGCTTCTCTTCTATTGTAAAAATCTTTATAAAAAATGTACTGAGTGCAATAAAATCTCTATTTTTGTTTTTTCTTTAAACCAACAAATAGACATACCAAAATAATTCATCATGAAATTATGGCAAAGAAATATTTAACACTATCATGTTTTTCTAAGGAAAACATTACTGTGGAAGACACCCAAGGAGTCTAAAATGCTTTTCTTGTGGTAGCTGATACTCATACCATTGTTAAAACAGCCTTTCCCCCTTTACAGTAAAACATCAGTGCATATTCCTTTATATATTAAAAAAAATCCAGTCTTAAAAAATTATCAGTTGGTTTAAAGTAATTGTCTTACCTTGAAAACACAGATTAGTTATGATAAATCTATTATTTAACAAATTAGGTTATTTCTAATGACTTAAAAGAAATTGGCTAAAACCCATGGAACGGTCAGGAAGCTACAATGCAGGTCAGAAAAGAGGCAGAGAGGTCAGAGGCTTTTTGTGGAATGAAAGAGCAACAATTTTAATATCTACTTTGAAATAATGAAACATCTGAGGCTCAATCAGTTTCTACAACTTGTGTAACGCAATAAACCAAAAATATTAAAACATGAACCCTATCTTATTCTTAGAAACAATTTTCTGCTACATACATAAATAAAAAGTGCTTATAACTAGTAATATGCAACACTAAGAAGATCAGCTCAGGATCATGAATGGCATATGTCTCATTGCCAGCAATGAGAGTGATATATGCTAAGGGTTCCATAATATTTACAGAAGACAAAAAAATACATATATTCAATTATCTCCTATAGTTCTAATGTTATCATATACCACTGAGCATAAAATAGTCTTCTTTTGACAGGTAATTAAAACAAACATTATATTATGGAAGAATAAAATGCAAGAAAATTCTCTTTAGGGATTTATGATGATTAAGTGTTTGTACTAGTTCAAAATGAAGTTAAATACAAATAGAACACAATTCTGGGGGGAAAAAAGAGACTTATTTATTTGTTTTATAAAATAAAATGAGAAAGCTTAGTCAAGAGGCGACAGCTTTAGAGGTGTCATCTTAACCAATAATAAATTCATAGTAATTTTTATTCATTTAAATAAGACAGGAAGGGAAATTCTAATTCCTGCTACCTGACCAGTCACTTCAGAAATTCTTCTTAAGGAAGTTAAAATAAAAACATCTTGGTTTTTGGTTACTCTCTAAAGTAAAACTTTCCAGATGTCCTGGAAGCAATGAGTTCAATTTGGTGTCTTCTTGCGTTCTGGGAAAGAACAATCAGTTTACATTGAGATCTCAGCTTTCAAATGCTGTGACCAATTATTTGTGAGTTATAATCTGCAGGTTCCATTTTTAAAATATGTGGGATGACACTGTCAATTCGTACATTGCCAATGAGACCTTTGAAAAACAATTCTTCGGTGATGGTAGCGTTCATCAATCTCAAAGCTGGCAATCTGAGTAGTAGTCTGGACAACCTCAAAAGAGAAAAGGGGGAAAGAGGAACAAGGCTGTAAATTCGAGTGATTTAGTAGAAAGATATAAGTAATTTCTGCATTAATGCTCTTTGTAGGCTTGTTTAATAAGATCTAATTTTCAAAACTTAAAATAAAACCTGTAGTATTCTCAAGCCTTACAGTGTATGGCAATCACCTGGATATAAATGCAGTCTGACAGACTTCATAGGAAAGCCTTGCAACTTAACTGCTGTGCTGTGTTACCTCCACTTGGTCGTATGGACCATGAAACTAAGTTATTAAACCACTGATCAAGCTATAAATTCAGTGGCTTAGGAACTCATTTGAGGTTGTGAAAGCAGTAATGTTTTGTGTTATAGGATACATGAGGCTCAACAATAATAGCTTTCTTGGTTTTGCTTTGCAAAAAAGTACTAGAAATGGTAAAACAGGCAATAGGTATTATAGGGAAAAGGACAGAGTATGGAATCAAGACCATTAGGTTCAAATCCTGATTCAACTGCTCCCCAGCTCTGTGAATGTGTGTTAAGCCACTACTCCCTGTCTCTTCCACAGTGTTGGGACAATCAACAAAATGTTCCCTGCCAGTTTCTGTGCTAGTCAGGTTCTCAAAGGCAGGACAATATCTTGTATAAAAGTACACTGTAAGTTAAAAACTGCTATCAAATATAATTTATTATTTTAAAATAGCCAGGAACGTAAGAAACTGATGATAGAGTTCCAGAGGTCAGTCAAAACATCTGCAACTTAATGGAACAGAAGTATGCAAACAGCTGTTTGTCAAAAAGAAAAATTTAAATACTGTATTTATTTGTATAATGAGGTGTAAAACAACTTCTGAAACTTTAAAAAAAAGTAACAAAACCAACACCAATAGAGCCAAAAGTTTGTGGCTCACTTATCCTTCCTCTATTCTAAGGCCTTACACTTGAGAATAGATGAAACTAGCAGCCCCAGGATTAAGTAACCTTTCTGTACGTGTACTCTACTGCTCAAATTACTCATTTCCTTTTTGTTTCCACCAGCTGAGCTGTATCCAGACTTGTTAGGAAGCAGGATAGGAAAGCTGGTTAGATAAAATAAGGCTGATTTTCATGATAGAACTGGCATATAAATCTAGTATTCAGTATATGTGAAAGGTTATTATATGTAAAGTGTTTTTACTAGTTTGAAGTATGTTAAATTAATAATATTAGTAAACACATTCATATAGCCCTTACTATGTAACAGGCAGTGTCTAAGCTCTTTGAATATATTAATTGATTTAATCCTTATACTAATTGTAAAATGTGGGTACTATTATTATCTCCATTTTATGGGTAGAGAAACTGAAACTGAATTTAAATAACTTGCTCAAGGTCATACAGCTAGTAAGCAGTAGGTTCAGAAGTCAAACCTAGGTATTCTGGCTCTGACAGCCAAATGTTTACTCAAAAATTTAGTTTATCTTATTAAAGAAAGATTTTTCTTCTGAAGGGACATTGGTTAGAAATACCTTGTTAGAGATGTCATAAGCCAAATTTCAAAATTAATTATGAAATAGTCTAATGGTGTTTTTTATTGATTCATTTTCATCCCCTTTACCAAAAAAATTCATTATTTCATCTGAAGAAAGTAAGAGTTTGTAAGAGTCAGACTACCTAGGTTCACAGGCTCTGCTGTTTTTGTGTGACTTGAGCAAGTTACTTAATGTGTCTGTGCTGAAGTCTCCTTGTATAAAATATTACATATAAAGCACCTGCAACGATGCACTGCCACTTTTAACAGTATGAACTATTTCAAAGGTCAAAGCTGACTAAATTTAATTACCCTTGGAATGGAAAATAATGAAACAGATTCACAAAAAGGTTTTAAAATGAATTTAATTAAATAGTATTTAACTTCTAGATACCTGTAGGTGTCATCTGGATAGGTTTTGGTTATATAATCTTGGAATTCCACATAAGCCTTTTCCTGAAATTTCTCAATCTGTTCCATGTTTTCTAAACCTGGATGATCTGAAACATTAAAGAATATACTGTTACTTTTAGTTCTGAATACTCCTCTCCTAATGCACCAAGACTGGAGATGGAAGGGGGTGCAATTCCATAAATATTATATTTAATGGCCCATCTACTAAACACCAGGCACTCTACTTTAAACCCTTAAAACTATTTTATCTCATATATGTATGCTAACATCTAATAAAAAATGAGACCACTGGGTTCTAATAAAATAAATAACTTTCTCTATTCCAAAAGTGATAGAAGGGATTTTGATCATTTTGCTTTTAACAGAAAAAAAAAAAATGAAATGACTCAGCTTAGTTAAAAGCATTTTTAACCAATGAAATACTTTCAGATTATATTCTTGTAAAATTTTTTTCATGAAAATAAGAATATATTTTTAAACTGAAATATAATTGACACATTATATTTGTTTCAGGAATATAACACAATGAGTTGTATTTAGACATTTGTATAAATTGCAAAATGATCACCACAGTAAGTTTAGCTACCATCTGGCACCAAAGTTACAAAAATCGTTTTCTTGTGATGAGAACTTTTAAGATTCATCTTCTAGCAACTTTCACATTTACAACACAATATAGTAACTATTGTGACCATGCTGTATTACACACCCATGACTCATTTATTTTATAACTGGAAGTTTGTACCTCTTGATTCCCTTTACCCATTTCACCTACTCCTCATGCAGATTATATTCTGTATTTGTTTCATAAGAAAACCTTTTTTACAATCGCTAGATTAAAAAGATACTTTTGAAATTATAGAACTATGTATATCAGCTCTATCAGAAAACTTATGATCATACAGAAACATGAAATAACCTGTGTAAGCATTTCCATGGTCACCATAAAATTTCACAAAATGGAGTTATTAGAAGAATGTCATAAAAATTATGCCTAACTTAAGAAATACTTAAAAATATGGACAGTGCTGTCCTGACTGAAGAGAATTAAAAAGGTAGTAAATAGGGAATAGATGGAATACTTAACAAAACAGAATTACATTATAATTCTACTGTCAAATCTATGTTCCTTTAATTTTACAGAAAATGAAGGTGGTAAATTGGTTGTGATAAAAATGGCAATACATGTTATTAACTTATCTGAAACATTATTAGAAATAGGACAAAAAGCTTTATCTTATTGGTATCACTGAGGGTAAGAAGCAAGTTTCCTCAGATAATTTTATGATGATGCACATAATAAAAATACATACCAACATGAAAAATACAGAGCCTAAGAGAACAATTTTTCTTACTCAAAAATTGATTGTTGAGCTTTAGTGTCATTTTACTATACATGAAAAATAGAAACTGGCAGGAAAATAAGAGCCCCATTTTTGTATTTTTGGAAACTCTAATAAAGATGTTTAGAAATCTGACCCATTAACAAAACAGTCCTCATCTCTCATTTGGCCTTTAAATGATGCCTAGCAAAATATACCAAAGCATCCAAGTGGTTTTTAAATTTTTATTTATTTATTTATGAGTATGTGGGAAGGTAATTAGGTTTACTTATTTGTTTTTTTAGAGGAGGTACTGGGGATTGAATCCAGGACCTTGTGGATGCTAAGAAAGCACTCTACTTCCCCCAAAACATCCAAGTATTAATGCACAAGAGAACTTAAGGTCTATGACATCACTGCACTGATTTCTTCATCTTCCCTTTTCATACCCAGATAAATGTCTAACATGTATAAATTCCACCTATTTAAAGTATATAATTCAATGGGTTTTTTTCCAGTATATTCACAGAGTTGTGCAACCATTACCACAATCTAATTTTATAACATTTTTTTCACCCCAAAACAAACTCTGTATACTGTAGTAGTCACTCTCCATTATTCTCTCTCCTTAGTCCCTGGTAGTCACTAATGTCTCTACAAGTTTGCCTATTCTGGACATTACAGATAAATGGAATCATGTAATATGTGGTCTTTTGTGACTGGCTTCTTTCACTTGGATACTGTTTTCAAGGTTCATCCATGGAAGCATATATAAGAATTTTATTCCTTTTTATGGCTGAATGGTACCCCATTGTACCTATAAATTACATTTTGTTTATTCAGTCATTTGTTTTCTGGGCACTTGGGTTATTTCCACTTTGCACCAATGTACATTCCCAATGGCAATGTATAAGAGTTAAATTTCTCCACATCCTCAAACATTGTATTTTAAATGAGAAAATGTTTATATACCTGGACTAAAGAGTACTATTGCCTTCAGGTAGGCATATTCATATCCATCAATGCAGAGTTTAACCATGCTGTTACAAAACTCCTGTAGTTTGAAGATGTGTTCCATCAATAATTTTCTTCTTTCTGTTGACATTTTATCTTTAATTAAAAACAAAGAAACAAGCAAACAAAAGCTTCTAGTTTTCAGCAAAAAATGCATCACTATTTGTATCCAATATATTCCCTCACTAATTTCCAGCTTTGAATATAACCAATCTATAAACTTTTAAAATTCAACACATCTGCAAGTATAAATGAAACAAATTAAAGATCTTGAGACATTGTTCATTCAAGAAAAAAAACAAAACAAGCTGCTAATAAAAAAAAAACAAACCCTAAATGTAGTATTTCCTTTCAAAATATACCTTTGAGAAGATAAGCTGTAAAGACAATCACCTAAAAAACTAGTCAACCAATGAAAGAACAAAAGACTCAAATTTTGGTAACAGGATTTTATTTGTGGTTTTGTTGACTGGAAAAAATGAGCAAAATCATCTAGATTTTTAAAAGTTAACAACATTACTACAACTAAAACAAATATTTAGCCTAAAAATAATGTCAAGACCAAAGAAAAGGTGAGTCAAAAAAATTTTGTAACTTTAAAAATTCATTGTGTTTACGTTTAAAATACATCTGGTTTAGTCAATCATAGCCTTAGTGAAGGTAGGCTATAAAATACTTTACAAATTCATGAGACATGAATCAAGACTAGGAGGCCATAAATAAGATGGGAATGTAGTACTGCCTTCTGGTAGATCTACTATTGATGGGATTTTAAGGTTATTCTCTGCCCTTAAATATGAGGAGGAAGCAGGTATCTTAAAAATAATGTAAAAGAATTGGGTTCAATCCCCAGTATCTCCATTAAAAAAATAATAATGTAAAACAATGGGAAATGGAATATACTAAGGAAATAAAATGTGATTCCCAATTTATAAATTATTCCTCAACTCAAAAAGCAGTTTTTCCCATTTATGGATGGGGCATCCTCTTGGTTAGTCACAAGCCATTCTGAAGCTAAACATTTATAATTTAGTGCCTGCCTGCCTGTCTCCTCAAGTGAATGAGAGCTGTAATCACCTTAGCACCAAGGGAAAAAAAAAAAAAAAAAAAAGGAAAAAAACCCCCAAAAAACTAAGGATTGTTCTGTGACTTTACTTTGTACCTTTTAAGAGAGGTAATACACCCTGATAAACTGACTTAAAAAATCAGCTTATCTTGGGATTCAAAGGCAGTTAAAACCTGGTGGGAAGGAGGGAGGGTATAGCTCAAGTGGTAGTGTGCATGCTTAGCATACATAAAGTATTGGGTTCAATCCCCAGAACTTCCTCTAAAGATAAGTAAGTAAACCTAATTAACCCCCCCAACCAAAAAACAAAACAAAAAGTCCACAAAACTGGTGGGAAGTACACATTTATGTTTGATCACTTCTATATAAGCTCACCCCGGATCCTTTGGTATGCATACTGAAGTGCAAAAATTCATGATGCCTTATCAGAAACAGCAGTTAAATATACTTTCAGTTTTGTTGTACTCCTATATAAAATATTTTTGGGTGATTAATGAATAAATGTATCAAAGTGTAAAAATTATCTAAAGTAAAAAGGATGTTGGCAGCTTTTAATATCTAACTTTAAATCATAATACTATAAACTGACACCCCCACCCCATATCCTGGAAAAGGAAATAAATAAGGTGCTTTTTACCTTGTTGAAGGCTACTGTGAAGACAATTGACAAATGTTGCTAATATAGTTGCTACATTCATCACTTGCCAGCACTGGGCAAGACCAAGAGTAAAAAGTTCATTCCAATAGGCTTTCACCAATGATATGCTGTTTTCTTGCCTATAAAAACAAAATAAACAAATACCAAATATTAAAATATATATTATGAAACTTTACAAGTGATTCATATATTTAAAAATAAAATATTACTGAACTAAAATTATTCTAAAAGACCAACTGGGCATGGACTTGATCAATCCTATATTTTGTATAGTTAATTGCAGTGACGAGGAAGGTTTAGAAATTTAAATATTAGCTAACTCATTAATCAATCAGCAGTTTATAAGAATAGTTCCAAGTAATATTTCAAACTAAGGGCATTAATCCCACATTTCATGGAAACAGATGTAATAAAGATTGGTTAAAAAAATTAAAAGCAAAAGCATGTATTTAAAAATCTTTCTAATAAGGGCAATTAGAATTATCCAAATGTAGGTAACAAACCAATTTCTCTGGGAGAAATGGTTTACTCTGTAAGTATGTTTCAGATGCGATATAAACATCCCATAAATGAGATCACAAGGATTTTGCTAGGAGTAACGAAGATAAGAAAGGTCAAGAAGTCTTTTCCTGAGTTTTTGAGTAAGAAATCTCAGCAGCTTGAGAAAATAGAATACTGGAATTAGAGTCAAGACACCAGGGTTTTTAAGATCATCCAGTTATTACCCATTTAAAATTAGGCAAATAAAAGAGTCCTGGGTCTCAACTGTTTGAATCTGGTTTCTTCCACATTTCCAGTATTTCCATAGGAAAATCTCACTTCAATTAATAGAAGTACTTAAGATCAATAACGTTACAACTAATTCAAATCACTTCACCCCACATCCTTCCTTTCCTTGTTTTGCTATCATAATTGAGAGCCTATATAAAAAATATCATCAGGTTACTTTGCAAGGCATATGTATGCCAGTTACAAGCTTAGGGAACCACACTTAATACTTTAAAATACGTAAACTGTTAATATGTAAATTTATATTGTATTTTAATTTTTTCTTAAACAACTGAAGAGATCCTGAAAGTTAAATGTTTTTTAGAGGACTGACAATCATTTTTAAATTAAATGGTTTTTTAAAATCAGGCTCTTAGTCTAGGTAACTGTATTATTTAAGTACATGATTTAATGTGTGGTATATCCAATAGTGATTAATAAAACCAATTTATAGTGGGGTCCTATGTATGCCTTTTAAAGTCATGATTCAGATATATTTCTTATATTTAAAACATTCTCTAAGAAAAGAGGATGGGCAGCTATTATTCCTATTTGGTGAATGGGAAAACAGATGTACAGGATACGGAAGTGAGCTGTTCATGAGATCATATTGTTGAGTAGGGTCCTATAACTAGAATAATACTTTTCAAACTATGGGCTTACCTTTGTCCATGGCCTCTTTGCTTCTTCATATCAGTTACTATAAAGTAATATAATTAAGTCTGGCAAATTTTAGATAAATTTTGGGTTTCTTACAGTAGATCATTACTTCAAACGGAATACAGATGTGCTCTTTAGTGGTAGGACTAAACTTCATAGTGGTACAATGGAGTTAACATTTTTGGGGGTGGGAGGGCAACCACACGATTGGAAAACAATTATTTAGATTTTCAAACATATTCACTATATGTAAGTTTTAGCTCCTTATTAACAAGCCTGAGACGACACTGAAACAGTGGTGGTAGAGGGAAATCACTATAGCCTCCCCAACTGTAAGGCAATCAAAGCTGGCCTATTACAAATGCTGGCCATGATTTATCAGTTCCATTGCATTTATTTCACTCAATAAAATTGAATAATTTGTTAAACTAGTCATATTATGAAATATGATAATCTTCCACATAAAAATAATATACAGTTAATACTAGCTGCCGTGATTTATCATATAAATGACAAAACTTAAAGTTATAATGTGATACCATCTCTTTCCCTCTAGTCAAATCCTCCCAAAATAAAAGTTCTTGCTTAATGTACATTTGTGCTACAAAATCACATTTATATTGAAGGACTTACCCAAGAGCCTGGAAGGAAGGAATTGAAAGTGCCCAGTGCATTGATAAGAACAGTAGTCTGGAGGCAGACTCCCCAATGTAGTGCACGTTCAGGTACTCAGGCATAGGAGATGGCATGGTGAGCTAATGTGAACAGAGACTGTGGTAAATTATCTTAGGTCTGACAGATCTAAATTATCATTTAAAAAAGTTAAATGTAAACACATCAAATACACTGTACACAAAAAATGCAAGAGAGGAACAAAATGCTAGTTAGTTCAGCCATTACGAGAGGACTGAATTTTTGATTACAGATGTCAGGTCTTAAAACACATGACCATAAAACCTCAATGGGAGAACTAACCATGACTGTTGGGAAGCTACTGAAAAGTAAAACTCTTAATTTCAAGAGGCTGTAAATAAGAATCAGAGTAAGAAGGAGCTGTCTCCTTTTCAACTTTATAGCACTGATTCTGAGGATACTCAGAGTATGGCAAGTTAAGGAACAGAGAAAAGCTGATTCCAGAAAAAAAAAAAGGTAAACTACTTCCACTTTTTATAGAAGTACTCTGTACTCTTCCTAGCAATGAGTTCTCTTCCTACATCTTTTACCCTTCTTTCCTATTTAAATCCAAAGGCAGAAAATAAAACTAAGAAAACATAAGAATGTCTCTTAGAGTAAGAAAGAACAATGGGAAAAACCAGTTTTGCTTTGCTCCACCCTTATCCACAGCTCCTACCATAATTTTAAAGGATTGCACTGATTATTCCCACTGCCTTTTCTTATAGCCCCTATAACAATCTTCTTGTAAAGTACAAATAAAATATTTATATTTTTTCCCATATAAATTATCTTTGGTAAAATTTTACATTAAGACTGGTTTCACTGCTATGTTTTATTGTCTGTATCAAATTATAGCAATTATTATTTAAATTAAGTCACTGTGAATTTTCTCTGGGCCACTTCTATCAAGTCAAATTTTATAAGAACAGAAGTTCTACAAAAAGTTGTAGAAAGGGAGCCCTAAAAAACGTAGCTCTGTGCATGGTCACGCTGAGATTAGATTAAACTTAATTACGTAAATGGATTTTGTTACTAAAAGTTGGCTGGTACAGTACTAGATTTGGTTCCTCTCTGTTAAGAGAACTAGTTTACTTAAAATGCTTCTGATAACAGACTGTGTCAAACTTTTTGGTATTTTTGACAAACTTTCTGTCAAATTCTAATTAAAGTTCTTTTGACTTAAAAAAAATTTTTTTACAAGAA